GGCCAGGGAAGGCGTCACTGCCACTCACGTCCCACCTGCACACGCTGTCCCCTGCTGAGCTCAGTAACATAAAGTGGTCAGCGGCTGCAGAGCCGAAGAAGAATTTGGGGGTGGGTGCCTGCGTTTGGCACAGGGGCTGTCACTGCTCGCAGCACCTGCATCCCACATCAGAGGGCTGGGTTTGAGTCCCAGCTCTGCCTCTGATTCCGGCTTCCTGCTAATGCACACCCAGGGAAGCAGTAGGTGAGGGCTCAAGGATTTGGGACCCTGCCACCCACATGAAGACGTGGATTGGGTCCAGGGTCCTGGGCTTTGGCTTAGCCCAGCACTGGATGCTGTGGGCCTTTGGAGAGTGAACCTGTGGCTGAAAGCTCTCTCTCCTCTCTCTCTATCCTACTCTGTCTTTCAAATAAAAGTGAGAAATAAAAAGTTTTTTTGAGGGGCCAGCACTGTGGCATAGTGAGTGAAGCCACCACCTGTGACGACAGCATCCCATATGGGTACCAGTTCGAGAGCCAGCTGCTCCACTTCTGATCCAGCTCCCTGCTGACACTCCTGGGCAAGCAGTGGAGGATGGCCCAAGTGCTTCGGCCCCTGCACCTGTGTGGGACATTCGGCAGAAGCTCCTGGCTCCTGGCTTCAGATCAGCCATCTGGGGAGTGAACCAGTGCATGGAAGGTCTCTCTATCTCTGACTCTCCCTCTTTTTCTCTCTAACTCTGCCTCTGAAATAAATTGGGAAAAAAAAAAAACCCTTTTTGAAAAAGAATTTTCAGTTGAACTGGGGCTGTCACAGAAATAGCCACTCACTCAAGCACCCATCATCCTTACCTCTCAGTCATTTTTCCTGACAGACTAGAGATTTCTAATCCAAAACTTATCTCGTCTTTCTTAGTGTCCATCTGAGAGTGGCGTGGGAGTGGGTGAGAAGCCATGGCCTGGGGTTTGGCCTCAGCCCGCTGTCCAGCACCAGTCGCCTGTGGGATCCCTTTGGTAACTGACCAATCTCACTGACAGGCTTCCCACAGAAGCAGGCTGCCCGGAACGATTTCTGCTCCCGTGCTGTGCACACACGGACTCCCTGGGCCACTGTCAGCTACTCAGGGAGGGGCAGGGGGGAGGGGTGGAGGGTTGGGACTGGGGGAGGGTTTAGAGGACTGTGTTGTCAGGAGGCTGACCAAACAAACCTCACAGTACCTAGCCAAACCCAACCAGAAAGAAACTTCTCAGGGTCCAGCCAGGGGACACAGGCTGGGGAGCAGAGAGAGTGGCAAGCATCCTCGCAGGGTGCAGAACGCCTCGCGCGCTGCCGCGAGGATGGCCACCTTTCAAGTGCTCCGAGGGCGTCCGTCAGCATGCGACTGGGTCCCGTTTCACTCCCTCCACACTGGCTCCAACTGGGCAGTCACGGGCGACTTCGCCCGCTGATGAAGATCCTTCGTCTGGTCACAATTAGCCCTGTCTCCTTGGGAAGTCAACGCTTCGCAAACTCGTCTGTATGTGTAATGCCGGTCTCCCGAGAGGCCATCAGAGATGATGGGTCGCTGGCCAGATATTTGGTCGAAGGTGGTGTCCATTCCTTTGATTTACAAAGTGGGAAAGCCATCGGGGAGAGGGGTCCTGGCAGCTGCGTGCTGGCCCTCATTCTGATAACAATGTTTCCATCCCTTCCACTCACAGCTTCTGGAAGGAGCCGCGAGTTATTTATTTCCCCCTCACTCCTCGGGCTCTGCGCACAGGCTCTATTCATTCCTGGGTCTCCCCGTCAGAAGCCAGGTCACCTCTGAACTAACTGGAATCACGGCTGCTCAGCGCTGCCTGCTTTATGGGTCTGCGCGGCCTACTTTGTAGTGTTTGCACTTCCCTGGAGCTGTGTGCTGGTCTAAGATTGGATACCTGCCTTACCCCGGGAACCCTCATGAAAACGAGAGGGTTGGCTCATAAAACTATCCCGCTGTGCAAAACTGCAAATAGACAAGGCTGAGACTGTAGAAAAGCCAGAGCTGGTGCAGGGAGCTGCATCGCCCCCCGGAGCACCCATGCCCGCGGCTCAGGTGCAGTCCCCACAGGCCCCCACCCGTGGGCCTACGCGTGCTTTGCAACTCAGCACCATTTCCTCGTCCAAATTCCCTCCCTGCTCCCCACCCCACCCCATTTCCACTTTGCCTCCGGGTGTAGACCCAGGTAGAAGCCAGCAGGCTCGGATGAGGACAGGGCCCCTGCCAAAGCCCAGTCGGGGGGACAGGCCAAGCGCTGGGCTGTGCTGGGCCCTCTGGGCAGCTGCTGTCTCTGAGGTTTGCACGATGTGGAAAGATGAACCAGAAGAAGCGGATTCTGACCTTCATGCCCCGGGCAGAGGTGAACCTGGAGGTCATGTCGAGGCCCCTACACGTGGGGGAAGAGTAAGACCCAGGTGACTTCCCAGCTGTGGACACAGGCCGGGCGCGGGAGGCTGCTCTGTCAACAGGGAGCACAAACGGTGTGGCAAAGGAACTGCAAGGTGTGTTCCCCTTCCTCAAGCAGCGGGCTTGCGGGAGGCTGAGAGAGGGCAGGCCAGCCTGCAGCGTGGATCTCCTCGGCGGTCCAGGTTAGCATCATCCGGGAGCTTGTTAAAAATGCATGTTCTCACCAGCGCCGCGGCTCACTAGGCTAACCCTCCCCCTTGTGGCGCCGGCACACCAGGTTCTAGTCCCGGTCGGGGCGCTGGATTCTGTCCCGGTTGCCCCTCTTCCAGGCCAGCTCTCTGCTGTGGCCGGGGAGTGCAGTGGAGGATGGCCCAAGTGCTTGGGCCCTGCACCCCATGGGAGACCAGGAGGAAGCACCTGGCTCCTGCCATCGGATCAGCGCGGTGCGCCGGCTGTAGCAGCCATTTGGGGGGTGAACCAACGGAAGGAAGGCCTTTCTCTCTGTCTCTCTCTCTCTCACTGTCTAACTGTGCCTGTCAAAAAAAAAAATGCACGCACTCAGGCTGAGAGCCAGAGACACTGCAAGCAGGGCCTGCCTGCACATGCATGGTTTGTTCAAGTCTTCCAGGCAACTTTGGTGCAGCTAAAGCTAGACCTGCACCTAGAAGGACCAGCAGCAGGCCACTGTCAGTGCCGCAGCCAGTCCCGGCCCTGCTGACCTCGGGAAGGCGTCGTGCGCCTTCAACCGGCGTTTCCACCTGGGAAGCGGGCAGCACTGCTCGTGCTGGGGAAACATTTAGGGAATGCGTTTCACCTGTTAAACACCTAAGTGCATGGCCTCCAACAGGAAATACTAAATAAATACTGCTCTCATTCTTCCGGAGAGTGTGGGACTGAAGCAAGTGCATGCTCCAGAAATGCAGTGGGGTCCAGCACCGTGGCATAGTGGGCCACGCATCCAGGAGCCGGCATCCCACATGGGCGCTGGTTCATGTTCCAGCTGCTCCTCCTCTGATCCAGCTCTCTGCTGTGGCCTGGGAAAGCAGTGGAAGATGGCCCAAGTCCTAGGGCCCCTGCACCTGCGTGGGAGACCCGGAAGAAGCTCCTGGTTCCTGGCTTCAGATTGCTCCACCCTCAGCCATTGTAGCCATTTGGGGAGTGAACCAATGGATGGAAGACCTGTCTCTGAAACTCCCTCTCTCTGACTGTAACTCTGCCTCTCAAATAAATAAATAAAACATAAAAAAAAAAAAAACGCAATGAACAAACACATCCATGAATGAATGTCGGGACCCTAGGGGGTCAGCTTGTGTGTTTCTTGCTGGCAGTAGATACTCAGACTTCTGCTTTTTAGGGAACTAATTAGAAAGGCAAAGCCATCTTCTCTGAGGTCTAATGAGCATGACTGCATTCAGCAAACGGGAAAGGTAGGAGCAGAAGGAGGGATGGTGAAGATGGACGAAATTAAAGTGGCTAGTCATTCGTTTATTCCCTTGAGAGGCACAAAGAGTCAGAGACCAAGACAGACAGAAAGAGCTCCCAGGCACTGGCTGGCTCCCCCAGACACCAGGGCTGGGCCAGCAGTGGGATCTGGGAACTCAACCCAGGTCTCCCATGTGGGAGGCAGGGACCCGAGTACCTGAGGCCCGCCTGCTGCCTCCCAGGGTGAGCATCAGCAGGAAGCCTGAGTCAGGAGTCAGAGCTGGGCCCGGATGCAGGCAGGTGGATGTGGGACACGGGAGTCAATCACTGGGCCACACGTCCACGGATCTGCCATCGCTTTCTCTAGAGCTGGGAGGTGCAGGAAGCCATGAGAATCTTTACTCTTTTTAATGTTTATTTTTTCATTTTCATTTATCTGAAAGGCAGAGCAACAAAGATGGGGGGAGAGAGAGACAGAGAATCTTCCATCCGGGGGTTCCCTCTGCAGATGCCCACAACTGCAAGGGCTGGGCCAGGCTGAAGCCCAGCCAGCAACTCCTTCCGGTTCTCCCACGCGGGTGGCAGGGCCCCAGGGACTTCAGCCAACAGCTGCTGCCGCCCAGGGAGCACATTAGCAGGGGGCTGGGGTGGAAGCAGAGTGGGGAGGCGGGACCCAAACCCAGCACTCTGACACAGGGCACAGCTGTCGCACACTGCAGCCTAAGCACAGGCAGATGCCCCTCTGCACTCCCCCATCTGCTCCTGGGGCCCTAGGGGAAGTCCCATCACCCTCCCAGGACCCTTCCTCTTCCTCCCAGATGAGGCTCATGCGAGAGGTCAAAGCACCAGGGAACAGAGTTCTTCCATGTCAGCATCACGTGACCTCAACTGGGAGGCAGAGACGCTTCCTGCAAGTCAGGAGCCCAGCTCAGAGGAAGAGAGACGGCAGACTGGCAGCCCACCCTCCCCAGCCTGCCCATAGCACCTCCCCAGCCAGACTGGCAGCCCACCCTCCCCAGCCTGCCCATAGCCCCTCCCCAGCCTCCCTCAGCCCCTCCCCAGCCTGCCCATAGCCCCCTCCCCAGCCTCCCTCAGCCCCTCCCCAGCCTGCCCATAGCCCCCTCCCCAGCCTCCCTCAGCCCCTCCCCAGCCTGCCCATAGCCCCCTCCCCACTGTCTCTCTACCAGAAGCGCCTGGGTTCTGATTGGACTCCCTAAGGGATGTGACGGCCTTCCTGCAGGGTCATCACATGCCCATGGAGTGGGGGGGGGCACAGGGTGGTGGGGAGTCCTGGGAGCCTCCTGTCCTCTGGCCACCACCACTGTCCAGCATCTGAAATGAAGCCACCGATGACCATTCTCTGTGGAGCAGAGTCCTGCTCTCGTTCCCTGAAAGGCGGGTCTTCTGCCCCAAGGAGCAGCGTGCGCCCCTCCCCCTGCAGCACCATCACTGGCCACTTAGCTGCCCAGTGGCCAGTGAGCATCAGCCAGAGGCTGAGAACTGACGGGCTTCAGGAAAGGGGGGCTGGTAATGACCCCCAGCCATTCCTGACCTCCCTCCAGCCTCCCATTCAGCATCAACAGGATTCCCTGGACAGCCATCAGTGTGGCTTCACACAGAAGCCATGGGTCACACAGCAAGTGTGACATCATCAGGACAATGACACACTTCCCCACCAACAGCTACCACCCAACAACCAAACCAGGTCCCACGGACAAACTGACCTGGTCACCCAGCACCTGCCAGGTATCACAGGATCTCACCTTCTGGGTTAATGTCTGATTCTTTCATAATCAGCACGAAGCAGTGCTACTTGATCCTAACAGTGGCCACATGAGAAGTGGGGCAGGCGTCATGTTCATGATCGCACGCCTGGGAAAGCCACACAGGAGCAAAGGCTAGCTCCAGGCACTCAGCCGGGTGACGGCAGCTGAACCCGGGCCTGTGGCTCGCAGCCTAGTTCTCTTTCTGCTAAAACAGCCAACCCCTCGGAAAGAAGAAATAAGCTCTTCCTCAAACACAGTCAAGTCTCTCCGTGAGTTACATAAGCTACTCTAACAACGCTCAAACCTAACCGCTTTGGGGCTGATGTGAGGCACCGCAGATCCAGCAGCCTACACCGGAGCACGGGTTTGTGTCCTGGCTGTGCCACTTCCGGTCCAGCTCCCTGCTGGGAAAAGCAGAGAAAGATGGCCCAAGCGCTTGGGCCCCTGCCACCCACAAGGGAGACCTGGGTGGAGCTCCTGGCTTCTGCCTGGCCCGGCCCTGACATTGTGTGGCCCCTTGGGGACTGAACCAGCAAATGGAAGATGGATATCTCTCTCTCTCTGTTAATCTGCCTTTCAAATAAATAAATCTGTTTTAAAAATTACCTGATTTCTTGCTTTCAATCTGCAGAAGGTGCTTCCAGCAAATCACTTCAAGCGAAGTTAACCTGGTACAACTTTTAAAAGTTTGGTTTCAGGGGGCTGGCGCTGTGGTATAGCATATTAAGCCTCTGCCTGGTTTGAGTCCTGGCTGTTCCACTTTTGATTTAGCTCCCTGATAGTGGCTTGGGAAAGCAGTTGAAGATGGCCCAAGTGGTTGGGTCCCTGCACTGGTGTGGGAGACCGGGGAGAAGCTCCTGGTTCCTGGCTTTGGGTCAGGCCAGTTCTAGCCATTTAGGGGGTAAACCAGTGGATGAAGGACCTCTCTCTTGGTCTCTCCCTCTCCCTGTCTGTAACTCTGCCTCTCACATAAATAAATTTTAAAAAAAGGATGGTTTCTAAACAAAGGTAGGAAAGAGAAGCTACACAATAAAGGTGAGATTCCACCTGCCCCCGGGCCCTCACTCTGTAGACCCTGGCGATGTGGGTGGAGGCGTGGGGAGGTGCACGGCTTGTGTTCCCTGAGCCACCCGTGCTGTCAAGGGCAGGGCTCTAGTCTGGCTGTGGCCTCCGGAGCCTGGCCCTGCCAGCAGGTGCTCCGGGGCCTCCATTTGCAAAGGGAGCAGGCGCTGTTCAGTGGGCAAGCCTGGGGGAGGAGAGACTGTGCTCTGTGGGGGCACTTGTAATTTTGTAACCAGCAAATGAAAGGTCAGAGAAAAATCACCAGGCAACCTTTCATTCGAGGCTCTCTAATTTGTGCAATTATGTAAACGCATCAGGAGCTCCGGGGATGGCAGATCCCAAAACTGCCCGAGAGAGCTCGCCTGCACTGGTTTTTATGGCCTTACTGGGGCCCTGAGAGGCTGGGAGAGGGTCTTCTTCCATTCAGACATTTCATACCTTGAGAGTTTTTATCTGGGCTCCATTTTCTGTATCACAGGAGCGCAGCTAGCGCCCAGCTGTGCGATATATTTTATATGGCCCAGCCATCCCCGAATAGAACAAAGGAGCAAGCCAGGGAGCAGAGGGCTTGACAATCACGGGGCAGGGCCAGGACCCCTGCACTAGGAAGGAGGTCCAGCACTGGAGAGTGTGTCCGAGGGGGAACCCCACCACCAACCCCCAGCCACCGTGGAGACCCAACAGTACTCAGTACCCTCTCACCTGTGAGTGACCATGGGAAAACGTCAGCCAGGTGAGGCTCGGCTGCTCACCTACCTTGAGCGGCTGTGCCTCCGGACACCCAGTTATCTGACCTAACGACCTTGCGAGGGGGTGCGTGCTTGGTGCAGCCGTTAGGCTGCTGCCTGGGACGCCCACATCCTACATCGGAGAGCCTGGGCTGGAGTCCTGCCTGGGACGCCCACATCCTACATCGGAGAGCCTGGGCTGGAGTCCTGCCTCTGCTTTCCACTCCAGGCTCCTGCTAGTGCACACCCTGGGAGGCAGTGGACGATGGCCCACCCAGATGGAGCTCCTGACTCCTGACTTGAGCCTGGCCCACACCTGGTCATGGCAGGCATTTGGGGAATGAGCCAGTAGATCAAAGATCCACCCTCTCTTTCTATTTCTCTCTTTCAAATAATTTTTTAAAACAAAAGCAAGCATTTCTGTATGTTTGGCATGTAAACCCAACACAGATACCACCCCATCCACACAGGTGAAGACCGACACAGCAGGCAGACATCATCCTGTCTGAATCCCCAGTCAGCCTGCTGGGCTGTGGCCCAGAGGCAAGACCTGGGCCACCCTACACGACCTAGGCAGCCACGGTCGGGGTGGTTTTAGGGTTTCAGCCCACACCAAACCGCCGTCCCAGTTCTGTCAGCTGTTAGCGTCAGACCTGGTGGCAGGTGTAGCTTGCGGCTCCCTGCACTGGGATACCCGTGACTCCGGAGTCGTGTGTAATGCGATTTTGTGACGGCAGCCACGGTTCCCATTTGAGGCCTTCGAAGGGTTCATTTGTTTCCAAGTAACCTGTGCTAAACCTTCTCTTGTAAAACTTTCGTTACAGCGAAGAATTCTCTTTAAAGCAAATAAACACATTCTTGACATGTGCTCAGATATATAAATTCCTGGTTTTACCTACAAACATTTCCTAAAACAGGACGTAGCTTTATAAATCCAGTCTCTTGACGTTACATTATTCAGTCAAGAAAACATTTATTGCCTGTGTGATATTTCAAGACATTTTCCAGGTAATCTAAGGTCAAAAAGTTCTCCTTTTTTTTTTTTTTTCAAAGTTGAAAAATGGATGCAGGATCTAAACCTCAGACCTGAAGCCACAAAACTCCTACAGGAGAAACCTGGAAGACACTGGCCTCAGCAAAGACGTCCTGGATAGGGCCCCAGCAGCACAGGCAATCAAAGCAAAGGGAGACGAAAGGGACTGCATCAAGCTAGGAAGCTCTGCACAGCAAAGGAAACAAAGACAACCGACAGAATGGAATACTCTACATCTGATCCAGGGTTCATATCCAGGATATTCAGGCAGCTCAAGAAACTCAACCACAGCAAAGCAAACAATCTAGCTAACAAACGAGCAAAGGATACGAACAGATGTTCTTTCAAAGGATGAAATGCAAACGCCCAACAGAAACATGAAGAAAATGCTCAGGACCACCAGCCCTCCAGCAAATGCAAATGCAAACCACAATGAGGTTTCACGTCACTCCAGTCAGAATGGCTGCCATCCCGAACCACCACATAACACCTGCTGGCAAGGCTGTACAGAAAACGGTACCCTAACCCACTGCTGGTGGGAACACGATCGGTACAACCATTATGGAAAACAGTTCGCAGGTTCCTCAGAAAACTAGCAATGGGGCAGCTCTGTAGCACAGTGGGTTAAGTCCCTGCCTGCAGCACTGGCATCCCACATGGGTACTGATTCAAGTCGGGCCACTTTGCTTCTGATCCAGCTCCCCGCTAATACCGGGGAAAGCAGAGGAAGACGGCCCAGGCGTTTGGGCCCCTGCACCCAAGCGCAGGACCAGGAAGAAATTCCTGGCTTCAGTCTGGCCCAGCCCTGGCCACTGCGGCCATCTGAGCCGGCAGATGGAAGACTCTCTGTCTCTACCTCTTTCTGTCACTCTGCCTCTCAAATAAATAAAAAACAGATTTTAAAAAACTCACCCAGGTGTGGAGCTTACTGGGCCTGAAAGCCCCTTCCTGCCGTTCTAATCCCACCCCCCTCATTCTCTCCCCATCAAAGATCTCCATTTGTGTGCACCAGGCGGTGCGTGTCTTCCTCTGTCTCCCTCCAGTCTGGGGAGGCTTGGGGGTGGGGCTGACGTCCCTGGCACCAGCGCCGGTGTCAGTGCTGCTCCAGTTCCCACCTGCAAAGCTCTTGGATTTTCAGCCCCGCCCTCCGCACCTGGGCCAGGGCCCTTCGTCAAGTCCCCTGCGGAAAGAGCCAGACAAGCACAGGCCTGCCCAGGCTTCCTGAGCCCTTCAGGGCTCCTGGGTGCAAACCTCCTTATTTCCCCTCCCTCTTCTCCAAGCGCCCACCTGGAGATACGGATAACTGGCACAGTAAACCATCCAGTTATCACTGGTGGGAAATTTCCCCAATTCTCCAAAAGACTTTAAATGTATATAACATGTAAAGCAAGACCAAACACTCTAGAGACACACCTATACATATATGCAGAGATGTGTTAGGGAGAGAATCCTTCTTCATATTTTCCCTCTCTCTCTCTCTCTCTCTCTTTCTCTCTCTCTCTCTCTCATGCACACACACACACACACACACACACAAGGGTACTTTGAAAGTTCAAGGAAAATGAGGGCCTGTATTGTAGCACCCAGCACCTGTGACACCTGCATTCCAAATCAGAGTGCAGGTTCGAGTCCCGGCTGCTCCACTTCTGATCCAGCTCCCGTTACTCCACCTGAGAAAGCAGCAGGTGATGGCCCGAGTACCTGGACCCCTGCACCCATATGCGAGATGCAGATGGAGTTCCTGGCCCCTGGCTTCATTGGAGAAGTGATTCAGCACACAGAAGACCTTCCTTTGTCTCTCCTCTCTTTTACGATGCTTTCCAAATTAATAAACTGGTTTTTTTTTTTTAAAAAAAAGGTCATGGAAAATGGAAGTAAAATCTAAGTTTATTTTAATGCAAAAAATATTTGAAGTCCATTGCACAGTGCATTTTTCACGCACCTGTTGAAGACCTCTGTGTGCGTGGATATATACGCACGCGGGCAGGACGTGACCCTATCTACGTATCAGAGAGAGGGTGTGTAGTCCTACTTCACCACAGGCTCCGAGGAGACCAGAGTCCCTGCCCTGGGAACTCAGAGCCCAGCAAGCGAGCAGGCAGCGGATGAAGTGAGGACCACTTACCCACCGAGGGCGCACACCGGGGAGAGGGCACAGCCAGGGAGGAGCAGGGGCAGCCAGGTGCCCAAAGGACTGGAGAGCAGACCTGGGAGCCGACCTCTGGCTGCAGTCAGGAAAAGCAGACCGTATCCTCCGCCCTGGTCAGCAGCGCCAGAACACGGGCTGCACAGACGCCTCGCTTCCTTCACTCCGACCCCACCAAGCACTGACAGCCTCCCATTGCCCCTACGTGGACACCCTTGTCCCTGTAACCACCCTACCTGTGCTCTTCCCGGAGTCTGCAGGCATCTAGGCCTGAGCTTCCTGGTCGGCGAAACGGGAGTGTAGAAGCCCGACGGGGCTGTGCTGGGGCTGGGCACACGGCCGCCAGTAAGTGTGTCTGTCACCGCCATGGCTTCCAAGGTGAGGCTGCCCCTCCCCCATCCCCCTTTTGGGGAGCCCCGCCTGCTTCAGACTCCCAGAGCGTCCCTGGACGTTCCCTGGGACACCCACAGCCAGTCATGGAGCACCTAGGGTGGAGTCTTGGCTCACTCCAATTCCAGCTCCCTGCTAACATACGGCCTGGGGGGCAGCAGGTTCAGTACTCGCATCCCTGCCACCCACGGGGGAGACCTGGGTAGAGCTCCCACTGCCGGCTCTGGCTTGACTTAGCTGTGGCTGCTGCAGGCAAGGGGGAGTGAACCCACGGAGAGACGAGCACTTTCTGTCTCTCTGTCTCCCTCTGTGTGTGTGTGTGTGTATCTGCCCTTCAAATTATATATATATATATATTTAACAGGCAGAGTGGACAGTGAGAGAGAGAGACAGAGAGAAAGGTCTTCCTTTACCGTTGGTTCACCCTCCAATGGCCGCTGCAGACGGCGCACCGCGCTGATCCGAAGGCAGGAGCCAGGTGCTTCTCCTGGTCTCCCATGGGGTGCAGGGCCCAAGCACTTGGGCCATCCTCCACTGCACTCCCTGGCCACAGCAGAGAGCTGGCCTGGAAGAGGGGCAACCGGGACAGAATCCGGTGCCCCGACCGGGACTAGAACCCAGTGTGCTGGCGCCGCTAGGCGGAGGATTAGCCTATTGAGCCGCGGCACTGGCCCAAATATATTTTTTAAGATCTTATTTATTTATTTGAGAAGCAGAGTTACAGAGCGAGAGAGACAGAGATAGAGAGAAAGGTCTTCCATCTGCTGGTTCACTCCTCAAATGGCTACAATGGCTGGAGCTGGGCTGATCCAAAGCCAGGAGTTTCTTCCGAGTTTCCCAAATGGGTACAGAGGTCCAAGCACTTGGGCCATCTTCCAATGCTTTCTCAGGTCATAGCAGAGAGCTGGATCAGAAGAGGAGCAGCCGGGACTCGAAACAGCGCCCATATGGGATGCCAGCACCACAGCTGGAGGTTTATCCCACTACGCCACAGTGCGGGCTCCCACGTACATTTTTTACAAAAGCAGTCAGCTGTGACTCATTTCTCCTAAGCAGTGACGTGTTTTAGTTCCCTAAGCACACCGGTCAGTGTGTCACCACAACCAACATTTACATTTTAAAACTTCAGTCTCCTTTGGAAGGTGTCCAGGCTCCCTGAGCAGGTGAAGTGTTTCAGAGGGAGCCGCCAGGACCTCTCCCCCGGCCCCTCCGAGACAGCTGACCTAAGAGCTTGCTCACCTGCCCCTGCCCGCCTGTTCCTCCACAGCACAGAACACGGTCATCCAGGACCCGCCATCCACCCCTGAGAGCCCTCCTCCTTCTCCCCTCCGTCACAAGCCAGCTGTGCACAGGCTCAGCCGAGGAGACGGGTCCTCCTGGAGAAACACACGTGGGGTGCTGCCCACGAGAGGGGCCACGAACATGTCACAGAGTGCCCACAAGACGGCCCCTGGATGCAGCTGTTCCAGACAGTACCCCATCTCACGCAGTCAGCTGCCGCGGCATAGGTGGACATTTAGCATCCGTTGGATCAGTTCCCCTTTTTGGTGTGAATTTATGTAGCCTGAATTGAGACCCAGGAGCTGACACTCACCCCTGGAACCTGCCTTGGTCAGGCCAGCGCTGATGGCATGAGGGCTGCCGGCAGTGAGCCCTGCACACCATGGAGCTAAACATGAGCTCCCACAGCAAGAGAGGGTTTCCTGTAAACTGTGTCCCCCCACCAGTCCTTGGCACCTGTCCAAGATGCAGGTTCTGGACACAATAATCCACGGAGGACACCCAGACCCAAAAGCAGCCTTGCTTCGCCCACCCCAGCCACTGCACGAGGGAGGGCCATCCGCAGCTTCAGTCACACACGGGCCAGGCGTGGGACCACCTCACCCCCGGCTGAGAAGGGGGCATCAGATGCCAACAACGGCCGGAGAGAAACAGTCCGATCGGGTCCCCAGGGGAGCAGTGGGGACGAGGTTGTCACGAAAAGCACGAGTGGGAGCTTTCTAGTGGCCACCACGGATCACGAGGGTGTAGGTTGCCACAAGCTGAGAGGGGCCCCGACCACCAACCCTGGGGTGATGGCGCCGAGACCCCCAGGTGGGCGGCTGAGCCCCCCAAGATGTCGTTCACAGTGAACCTGATTCCGGGAGGGAAGAGACGTTCCTAGCAGACGTACCAGCTACCCAGGCAAGGAAAGCGAATGCCCGGGAAAGCACAGGAACTGTTTGCCAGAATAATTTCTGGTTTCGTTTCTGCGGCTTTCACGGCGGCTGAGACGAGCCCCGCGCAGCCACCCCCGTCACGCTCAGCGGCATCTGATCTCGCACCTGTTCAGACTCCTGACGTCGGCTGGCGGTTCCACAGCTCCCACAGACCCAGGAACTTTCTGCTTATCGCGGTCATTAGCTGTGTGGGGCAGGCGGCTGCTGCAAAACCAGCGAATGTCCGGCGGTGCAGGCTGCCCGCATCCCCGGGGGCCCAGGGCTGGAGAGGCCCTTTCTGTCCAGCACCCAGAGGCCCGAGTCCAGCGTCACTTCCTCTCCCAACAGAACTCTCTCTCGTGGACCTTACTTAGAGACGGCTCACTCGCCCGTTACAGCGTTCTCTCCCACGCGGACAGCAATCACGCTCGGTCTGGTGTCCAGATTCATCGACACCTGAGGATTCCAAATCAGTCTCATAAACAGCTGGTACCCAAATCAAAATTATACAACACACGATATTCACGGCCCTGCGAGGTATTTGGCAAGGGGTTTGGTAAGGGTGGGTCTGGAGGCAGAAAGCCAATAAAAGTTATCCCCAAAGGGGCGTGTGCTGTGGCTCAGCAGGTTAGGCCTCTACCTGGGACACGGGCGTCCCATGTCAGACTCTGGTTCAAGTCCCAGCTGCTCCACTTCTAGTCTGGCTTCCTGCTAATGCACCTGGGAGACAGCAGGTGATGGCTTAAGTACCTGGGCCCCTGCCACCCACATAGGAGACCCAGATGGAGCTCCTGGCTCCTGGCTTTGGCCTGGCCCAGCCCTGGCTGTTGCTGACACTCACTCTCGTTCTCTGTCACTTTGCCCTTCAAATAAATTAATTTTTAAGTTGTCCCACAATGTCCTTGCAATTGCCCTCACTCACTCCACGCCTCTGAAGGACCTATGTCACACTAATGCTAGTCTTATCTAGTTCCTGGTCAGAGGTCTCACTGCCCCATTGGTGGTGACTTCTGGAAAAAGGCTGAGCAGGCGAGGAGCACCCAAGGCCCAGGCTGGGGCTCAGTAGATGTCGTCTGTGCCTGGGGTTGAGCCCCAGTCTCTGGGGGCTCAATGTCCTGGAGGCCTCTGCCCTCCCTCCCCTTCCTCCTTCCCGTCCCACCTGTGACAGAGAGGAACAGCAGGCTGAGGCCTCCGGGCTGACAGCACTTTGGGCTCCGAGCCAAAAGCAGAGGAATGACCTGGGATGCTCTCTTGAGGACGTGGGAAGCCGACCCAGGGACGCAGAACCAGAGCCAGCTACTGAACCCATGTACCCACGCACTCAAATATAGGGCACAGGTGTCTGCTAACCAGCATCCCAAGTGCTAGGCTAATGCCTGCCCCAATGCATGCATGTTTAAATAAAAAACCAACCTGTTAGAGCAAATTTAATACCAGGCAACAAAACAAAATAAATTGGATAAGAAGGGATAGAAGCAGGATGGAGTGAAATTGCATTCATACACAGCTGTAAGTCCCCAGAGGACTAAAAATCTACATGCAAAGTGCCAAACCTTTAAAAATGCAGAAAGTAATATGAGAGAGAACTTACAATATCAATTAGAGTAATAGTCTCTCAGACTAGACCATGAAAAGTACAAACTGTAAATAAAACTATGTAATGTTTTCACTGAATTCAAAATCAAAACTTAGTTTGTGCCAAAAAAAAAAAATCATCAACAAGTGCCAACAAGTCAGGCTGCAAGATAACCCACTGCCTGGGGGGGGGGGGGGGGTCACTCACTGTGCATTCAACCTACAATCAGAATCAACCTACAGTCAATCCATGCAGAGAAACCCTACAACCAGAGGAGGGAAGGGCACTCAGACAGCAAGATGCCCGGGCGAAGGACAGGAACAGCGAACCGACACTCACCCCTGAGCTCCGACAGGACAAGGACTTGCCGGGTCACAGACCCAGAGCCCTTGTGAGGCCGTGGCATGTGCAGTGAGCAATGAGCCCGCCAGACAGTGAGCAGCAACTTCCTGGAGGCTGTGCCTGTCAGTCAACCCGACAATCCCAGTGCTAGGCACGTTTCCTAGAAAACACTTATGTACACAGCGGGCCAGCAGTAGAGAGCTCTAGCCAGCACTGCCTGTATCAGCAAACAGCTGGGCCAACCCCCACGTGTCTGTTAACAGGGGCATGCATAAATAACTCTTGGCATATTGATGTCACACTCATGCACTTAAATATCACGTGGCAGATAAAATAAATAACCTGGGGCAGGCATTTGGGGCAGCAGCTATGACACCTCTGGGATGTCTGCGTCCCACGCTGGGTACCTGAGTCTCAGTCCCAGCTCTGCTCGCAAGTCCAGGTTTAGGTTAATGCACACCCTGGGAGGCAACAAACAATGGCTCCAGTGGTTGGGTCCTTGCTGCCCATGTAGGAGACCCAGATGGAGTTCCCAGCTCCTGGCCTCAGCTTAGCTCAGCTCCAGTTATTGTAGGTATTTGGAGAATGAACCAGCACAAGACAGTCTCAGGGCACCTCTGTCTCTGTCTCTGTCTCTCTCTCTTCCCCCCTTTCAAACAGATAGATACATAGATATGGATCTGTAGATAAAAACCTTATATAAAGGAATAACCTGACATGGCAAAGTACATAAAATAAAGTTTTGTGCAAAAACCATATGATCATACAGAGAGGATAGGATGTTGATTGAATAACATTTTAACCCTTGCAAAACCATGTTGTATGTTGCCTACGGCTACGTAAAATGGTAGTGGGTGCACAGAAGGCTGAGTGTGAGGCATGGGCACACCCTCTGCAGGATGACTGGCTGATGGACAGAGAACTGACTGCCTCAGGAGGAAGAGCGAGAGCCCAGGGAGGCGCCCACAGAGTGCATCTCAACGCGACTGTGTGTCATGGGGAAGTCATGGCAAACCGTCCGAATCTAGGGAGGCCGGCGGCACACACAGCGCGTCTGTTCACTGTGTCCTATGACCTTCGGTGGGTTTGGAAGACTGTGTCCCAACACAGCTGTTTTCCAGATCACTCCGCTGCTGCTCCCTGCTCTTGGACTCTGGGATGCAACCCCTGGTTTGAGGCACAGCAGCCACGCTCCCCAGCTCTTCTCTGCCCAGCCTGGTTCCATTCCCCACTGTCCTCACTTTTCCTGCCCCAGGGCCTTCCTCGCCTCCCCTCCCAGGGCTAACTCCTCTCCCTCGCCCAGCTCTCTCGTGCCACCCCTGCTGGGAACACTCCTCAGCCACCCGGCACGCACGAGGGTCCCGGTTATGCACTCTCTCACACCTCTGGCCTCTCGTTCAGCGTCGTAAACACCACAACTGGTTACTCGTGGGTTTTCTTCTTTTTAAGCATCTGTCTCTTCTGTTCACCACTTAATCTAGCACAAGGCTTGACACCCAGTGGGTGCCCAACTGATGTACTGGAAGAAGGGGAAAGAGGAGAGAGCCATGACGGATGGCAGGTTGGGGGTGGCAAGGTTGGGAGGGCAGACACATTCACAGCCAGCATACCCCCAAGGAAGGGATGATGAGGTTGGGGGGCAGACACAGACACAGCCAGCGTACCCCCAAGGTAGGGGATGGCGAGGATGGGAGGGCAGACACAGACACAGCCAGTGTACCCCCAAGGCTGGGGATGGTGAGGTTGGGGAGCAGACACAGGCACAGCCAGCATACCCCCAAGGTTGGGGATGGCAAGGTTGGGGAGCAGACACAGACACAGCCAGTGTACCCCCAAGGTTGGGGATGGCAAGGTTGGGGGGCAGACATAGACACAGCCAGCGTACCCCCAAGGTAGGGGATGGCGAGGATGGGAGGACAGACACAGGCACAGTCAGTGTACCCCCAAGGCTGGGGATGGTGAGATTGGGGGGCAGACACAGACACAGCCAGCGTACCCCCAAGGTAGGGGATGGTGAGGATGGGAGGGCGGACACAGACACAGCCAGGGTACCCCCAAGGCTGGGGATGGTGAGGTTGGGGAGCAGACACAGACACAGCCAGCGTACCCCCAAGGGAGCCTCCATGCCCTGCACCCTGTACTGAAGGCAGCCGGGTGCCAGCTACTCGGGGTTGCACTGGGTTTTCTAGTGTTCTGCTGTCTGCAGTGACTGATCTGTCATTGCTGCAGGAGGCTGTGGCTAAGGATTCCTGCTGCACGGGCCCCTGGTGAATCCATCAGGACTTTAACATACACTGCAACCTAGAACAGCAGATTCAGGAGTGTGTCCCAGCGTCTCCCAGTGCCGGGAGGCGTTAGTCTACATTGTAGCAGGCACTGATTCGGTGAACCAAGCAAATAATTAAGGGCGGCCGAGCAGTTTTCAAGAACTAGCTGTGTTAAAACACACTCACACTCACCCCCACTCTGAGGCTGTACTGTCCACTGCTCACACGGTACACACACACGTGTTAACACAGGAAACACCTATTTAGGAGGTAATCTAGAGACAGGATTAAAATCAATTGTAGGGCCAGCGCTGTGGTGTAGCAGGAAAAGCCACCACCTACGGTGCCTGCATCCCATATGGTTCAAGTCCTGGCTGCTCCACTTCCGATCCAGCTCCCTGCTGTGGCCTGAGGAAGCAGCAGAAGATGGTCCAAGTGCTTGGGCCCCTGTACTCCACGTGGGAGACCTGGATGGGGCTCTTGGCTCCTGGCTGGAGCCTGCGCCAGCACTGGCCATTGTGACCATCTGGGGAGTGAACCAGTGGATAGTTCACTCTCTCTCTCTCTCTCTCTCCCCTCCTTTCTCTCTGTAACTCTTTCAAAATGCATAAATAAATCTTTGCTAAAAAATCTATTGTATATTTTGAAATCAGATGACAAAGATGCTGGTGGTGATGATGATGAAGATGATAAAGGAGAATAATTAGCAAAAGTGGATATTTACGATGTGCCAGGCATTGTGCTAAGTGCACTGACTACCTTACGTCATCCTTATAAACCCCATGAAATGGGCAATTTTATTACTCTTTTTACAGTCGAGAAAAGTGGCTATTCCCACCCAAAAGTCACCCAACTTTTTTTTAAAAAAAGATTTATTTATTTGAAAGGCAGAGAGAGAGAGGGAGAGGGAGAGAGGGAGAGACAAAGAGAGAGAGAGATCTTCCATCTACTGGCTCACTCCTCATTTAGCTGCAATGGCTGGGGCAGGGCCAGGCTGAAGTCAGGAACCAGGAGCTTCGTCCTGGTCTCCCACGTGGGTGCAGGGGCCCAAGCACTGAGGCATCTTCTGCTGCCTTCCCAGGTGCATTAGCAGGGAGCTGGATAAGCCAAAGTGCTGGTTCCTGTCATCCAAATTTGAAGCCCATATGCCTAGCTATTTTGCCAACAGCCTCCTCTGACCCACCTGCTCCTCCCCAAATCATCTTCTCTCCCTCTCCCTCCCTCTTCCTTCTCTCCCTCTCTCTCCCTCCTTCTCTCCCTCTCTCTCCCTCTCCCTCTCTCTACCTCTCTTCCTCTCTCTTTCTCTCTCTCTCTCTCTCTCTCTCTCTCACACACACACACACACCCCTTCAAGTTCATCTTCTCCACTGTATCAAGGAACCAGATTTAACCAACGTTCCTTCAGTGTTTGAGAATGAAGGCAGACACAGGAACAACAGGTCCGCATTCTGAATCCTCCAGGCTCAGGATGATTAATTTAACATCTCCTCCACATTTCCGTTCCGAGCAGATGGCCACTCAAGCTGCCTGGCCCAGGAGGCTAGTGTCTCTCACCCAGACAATTCCAAGACCCACAGATGCTCGAGCCCAAACATCCCGGTTCTTAACGTGGCCAGAGCCTCACACCCCTGGTTTTTGTGCACTACAAAGTGCCCCATCCGACACCCTCGGTCCACCCATCTTAAAATAAGTGCAGGCGGCCGGCGCCATGGCTCACTAGGCTAATCCTCCACCTGTGGCGCCGGCACATGGGGTTCTAGTCCCGTTGGGGGCACCGGATTCTGTCCCGGTTGCTCCTCTCTCTCTGCTGTGGCCCGGGAATGCAGTGAGGATGGCCCAAGTGCTTGGGCTCCTGCATCTGCATGGGAGACCAGGAGGAAGCACCTGGCTCCTGGCTTTGGATCAGCACAGCACTGGCTGTAGCAGCCATTTGGGGGGTGAACCAACGGAAGGAAGACCTTTCTCTGTCTCTGTCTCACTGTCTAACTCTGCCCTGTTGTCCACGGCAGTGGCATGCTAAATGACACGTTTTCAGTTGCCATGAGCACATGACTAATAAAAATGAATGAAGGCACCGAAGTCTGTATCTGAGAGGAGACGCTAATTTCATACATCGTCTATGAGCATTGAGAAGCCATCGCTGGAAGACAGCCTGCTCGCTCACAGTGGGTAGGAAGTCTGGGGCCCTACTTGTGCCCTCCCTGGTCATAAGATGCCCAACCTGGAAGGCATGCTGAGATCAGGTGGGTTTTACAATCAAGGCAGGCGCCTCTCCTTGCACATCAAAACAGAACTTTAGAAGGGCAAATGAAATTTCTTCTTGCCTTACGGAGAACTGGAGCAAGCAAATAATGGCACTAAACTTGTAGAGGAAACAAGTGTAATAAATGGAAGAAAAATGTAAATCCTGCCATGGTTTTTCTTTTTTTTTAAGATTTATTTATTTTACTTGAAAGTCGCAGTCACACACAGAGAGGAGAGGCAGAGAGAGAGAGAGAGAGAGAGAGAGAGAGAGAGAGAGAGAGGTCTTCCATCTGCTGGTTCACTCCCCAGATGGCCGCAACAGCCAGAGCTGCACCGATCCAAAGCCAAGAGCCAGGAGCTTCTTCCAAGTCTCCCACACTTAAAAAAAAAGATTTATTTATTTGAAAGGCAGAGAGAGAGAGGGAGAGGGAGAGAGGGAGAGACAAAGAGAGAGAGAGAGATCTTCCATCTACTGGCTCACTCCTCATTTAGCCGCAATGGCTGGAGCAGGGCCAGGCTGAAGTCTGGAACCAGGAGCTTCCTCCACGTCTCCCACGTGGGTGCAGGGGCCCAAGCACTGAGGCATCTTCTGCCATAGCTTTCCCAGGTCATAGCAGAGAGCCAGATGGGCAGTGGAGCAGCCAGGTCTCAAACCGGTGCCCACATGGGATGCTAGCACTGCAGGCGGTGGATTTACCCACTACACCACAGCACCAGCTCCTCCATGATTTTTCAAGAATGTCTTTTCCTTTTGCTTTTCCCTCCCACCAGAAAAAAAAAATTTATTTAGGGAGGGAAGAAGGTAACCAGGATTCCTTCCTCTAAGCTCGGATCTCGGGTACAAGAATCCACATGTCCGAGCCAGCAGAGGATTCTGGGATCCAACAAGGAAAGCCATTGCCAGCGTCATTTTCTGGGAGCTTCTGATCTCACAAGGGTAGCGCAGCGCTCTGCTGCAGGTCAGGCAGCCACAGGGACCACTCTTCCCCGCGCCCCTGGACAAGTTAGCACCCCATCTGGGGCCCAGCCTCCCGAGCTACCAAATAAGATGACGTCGCAACCTGCCTGCCGGTGGTGAGCAGACCCACAGGGCAGCGGACACGGGCACACAGTGCGCCGCCAACCAGAGAGACAGGCTCCTGCAACCCGAGTCAGTCCCAGCACTGGAGTTCTTAGCTCCCTCAGGGGGAGCACAGGCCGGCTCTGCAGGAGGGGCCTGCCCCGCTGCCCAGGCGCCAGTGCGCGCCGGGAAAGGCAAGGGCCCAGTCTATTTCTGTCGCAGGATGACCTCACAGGAAGCCTTGCCAGGGCTAACTTAGAGCCCCCAGGTTCTCAGGAGGACTCAAGGTCAACCCATTGTTTTTGACCCAGGCCTCTGGCTTCCCCTTGATTGGCACCTAAATGGGGGCTCTCTTTCCGGTGGCTGGCTTCCACTCCTCCCCACCAGTGCCCCCAGATATAACAAGTATGTAAAAAAAAAAAAACCAGCATTTGTTCCCAGCGCTAAATCTTAATCTTTTCAGAGTTGGTCCCTTCGAACGCAAAGAGAAGACAGTTGGCATTCGATCTGCTTCCCGGTACCCACAGCACCACGGACTCTGGTGGTACCTCATGCCCACCGCCCACTCGCTGAAGCAGTCCCACCTACGACACGCGTGGGCTGCCCGTCCCATCTCACAACGCACCTGGGTTCGGCTGTTCTCAGCGTGGCAGTTTTAGATGGCTCTATTTCATAGAGAGGTTTTTTTTTCTTCCCTGTAAAATCTGTCTTCCTGAGACTTCTCCCCATGGTTCCTGGTTTCTCCCCAGGAGCTTGTACCTGATGTATTAATCATATTTTTTCTATATTTTATGATGTTTTGACATCTTGAGGGACCCAGCTGGCTGAGACACTGCCCTTACCAGGGTTGGTGAATTCCTGAGACAATAAGCAACAACGTGCCTATGATGCACCTTCCTTTTCTTATGCAAACCAGCTAATCCAGAGTCCACCTAACGCCTGTCACCCCAAACCTGACTCTCACAAACCAGCCAGATTTCTCCTGCCCCAAATCAAATCAGGACCAGGCACCAGACAGCGAGGGACAGCCCCTGCTCCCTGACCCCTGCTGGAACTACTCAAACTCGCCAATCCCAGCCTGTCGCCCTTCCCAACCTGCCCAGGATTGCCTGTGGGTCCTTCCTGCCTCCTACCAACACTGGCGGCTCCCACGGGGGGCCTGTGTGGGAGCCGTGCCCCTCCACCCAGGGAGCGCGAGACGTGGAGAGATTCTCTCGCGGCATGAGCCCGTCCATCACTAGGTCACCTCTCTGAGTTAAACATGTGAGCAACATTCAAGATGTCTGATGACCCATTCAGAGCCGTGACCCTGCCCCTTCCAAGCTTCTGCTCCACGCCCATGACCTTTGCCCTTCACCACCCTCCACAAGGCTGGAGGCATCTCTTACCACCCAGCTCAGAGCCGGCTCCTGGGAGCTGTGCACAGTCCCACACGCGGGCTCTGACCAAGCAAAGGCAGCCGTGTGCCGTCAACAACTCCACCATTACCACTGTCAGTAGCTCATTTACACTGCTGGTGAAAACGAAGCTTTGCTGTTAACAAAAACCTTCAACTCCATTTCATGTGAACGTTTGTTAAACCAAGCTTCCCCGTGATCCTTTCTTGCATGACTTGTTTAATTTAAATGTTCAAATTCATCATCGTCACCATACGACATGCAGTTTCCTAGCAGGACCACGTGGCTCTACCATAGAGTTTACAATTCTTTACATACGGACCTAATGATTCACCCGTTCATTCATTTCAAAGGCAGAGTGGCAGAGAGGGAGAGATCTTTTACCGCTGGTTCACTTCCCAAATGGCTGCAACGGCCAGGAGCCAGGAGCTGCATCTGTGTCTTCCACGTGGGCGGCAGGGCCCCAGAACTTGGGCCATCTTCAGCTACGTTCCCGGGTGCATTAGCAGGTGCCTGATTTGGAAGCAGAGCAGCCAGGACTCAACCTGGTGCTCCCGTATGGGAGGACAGCGTTGCACACAACACCATAACACCACCTTCATATGGGGTCAGTGTTGTGGATTTTTTTTTAGGAGCTGTTTTTTAATTTATTTTAAAAGAAGAGTGAGTGAGACAGAGAGGGAAAGAAGAGGAGAGGAGACACAGAGAAAGAAAAAGAGAATCTTCCACCCACTGGCTTACACCCCAGATGGCCAAGATAGTCAGGGCTAGGCCAGGCTGAAGCTAAGAACCAGGAACTCCATGCTGGTCTCCCGTGCGGGTGGCAGTGACCCAAGTACTTGCACCATCCTCCTCTGCCTTACCAGTTGCATTTAGCAGGGAGCTGGATCAGAAGTGGAGCAGGCCAGCGCCGCGGCTCACTAGGCTAATCCTCCACCTTGCGGCGCTGGCACACCAGGTTCTAGTCCCGGTCGGGGTGCCGGATTCTGTCCCGGTTGCCCCTCTTCCAGGCCAGCTCTCTGCTGTGGCCCGGGAGTGCAGTGGAGGATGGCCCAAGTGCTTGGGCCCTGCACCCCATGGGAGACCAGGAGAAGCACCTGGCTCCTGCAATCGGATCAGCGCGGTGCGCCGGCCGTGGCGGCCATTGGAGGGTGAACCAACGGCAAAGGAAGACCTTTCTCTCTGTCTCTCTCTCTCACTGTCCACTCTGCCTGTCAAAAAAATAAAAAATAAAAAAAAGTGGAGCAGCTGGGGCAGAAACAAGCGCTCCTGGCATTGCAGGCAGGGGCTACTGTGCCAGAACACTGGCCCCGTATGATTCTTTGTAACAATTAGGATGTTAAGGACAATGAGGGCTCCTCTACCAAATATCCCACATGCACACCCCATGAAGTCCTGTCACAGGTACTGGCATTGTCCCCCTGTGCAGGGAAGAACATCAAGACTTTGAGAGACTAACTGCACCTGGATGGGGTACACGCCCGGGCTTCAGTGCACATCCTGTGGGTCACATCTGACTTCAGTCCCTCATGCTCATCATGAGAACCCCATCTCTCCGGCTCTGCACACCGCGCCTGGAATCAGAATTGCGAGCGCTCAGATACTTGTCTGGACGGTTTCTTCAACCCTGGGGGCTTCCAAATGCAGTTGGGTAGCCCCCCTCCTTCCCCCACGCAGCACTGCTGCAGATCTCGAAGGACACAGGACTCTAGCTTCCTGAGCTTCTCTTCCTTTGGGAGGGAGAGTCCCCTGACAGATGGCTGCTCAGAAGCCGTGGGTTTCTCTAGCTAGATTCCTTCCCTCAGCGAGTATCCCCGCAGGGAACAGGTGCTTTCGGACATCAGCTATCATTGCTATCGGCATTTGCACCTGAACACTCACATGCTGCCGTGAGAGAGTGCTGCAAATGAGTTTTTCAGCATTTAATTTAAGTACGTATTTGAAAGTCAGAGTTACAGTGAGAGAGCGAGAGACAGAGAGGGCTTCCATATGCTGGTTCACACCCCAGTTGGCCGCAACAGCCTGGGCTGATCCAGGCCAAAGCCAGGAGCCTGGAGCTCCATCCAGGTCTCCCACGTGGGTGCAGCAGCCCAAGTGCTCGGGCCATCTTCTGCTGCTTTTCCCAGGCCACAGCAGGGAGCTGGATCAGAAGTGGAGCAGCCGGGACACAGATAGACGCCCCTGTGGGATGCCGGCGTTGCATTGTCAGTGGCAGCTTTACCCGATACTCTGGCCCCCGAAATGGCCTCTGAAGCCATGACTGTAGCTTACAGCCAAGGAATAAACTGACAGTAATCACTTTGTAAAAAAAAAATAATAATAATAACAGGAAATGACTGTGCTTCCTCTGCTTGGTGTAACACAAACTCCAGGCCCAGCCGGTTTTACCCGCCACGCTGTCCTCCACACTCACTGAATGGAGCCGTAGACTCTCAGCATGACCAAGTTCACACACTCACCCTGTGCTCCCAAAGCACTGTGCAGTTTACAGTTTTTCCACAAAACGTGAGGGGGCAGAGAATCCTCCGCTCGCTGGGTCACCTGGAGAAGGCACAGCCCAGGGAAAGGCGAGGCTGCAGCCGGACCCCCGACTCAGCGTGCACACACCATTGCACCCTGCAAAGGTTCTGGGCGTTCCTTGGAAGCTGATGGAGGCCACTGGCAGAAATGGAGATGGAATCCACAGTCGCCTCTCACCCTTCTCGTGTTGCCATCTTCTCTCTACTTCTGAGTGCAGAGGTCGCCATCCTTGATTCAAAATTGACAACAATAAGATTAAAAGTCCGTGGGGTCCCTGCCTACAGGATCCCAGTGGTCGGCGCTCCTTCCTTCCCCAGCCGTCAAACTAGCACACTTTCACCTTTATGCACCAAAGTACACGTCTCTCTAAATTTTGTTATTTATTTGCAAAGCAGAAGCAGAGAGGGAGACAGAGGGAGAGACAGAGACAGAGCGAGAGCTCCCATCCACTGCTTCACTCCCCAAATGCTCACAGCAGCCAGGACAAAGCCAGGAGCCCGGGGCTCAATCCAGGTCTCCCAGGTGGGTTGCGTGCAGCCGGCTACTCTAGCCGTCAGCTGCTGCTCCCCCAGGCCAGGCATCTGCAGGAAGCCAGAATCAGAAGCAGGGTCTGGACACGAATTCAGGTGCCTTGCTGTGGGACATGGACATCCCAGCGGCATCTGACCTGCTGTGCCAAACACCTGCCCCAAACTTGTCTTTCCACTCCACGTTCCCGCAGGCTTCCTGAAGAGCCCCTGCAGCCCTCAGTATTCTTATACCTGCACCTTTCGGCCGGGAAAGTCCCCCCAAAAGGCCTCCAAGGTGGCAGAGCTGGCAGCTTCTGTAGCATCTGGGGTGCAGGCAGGGCTGCGTGTCTACCAGCTTTAAGGCGGGGCTGCATCTTCGCACGGGGCACAGGTTCAAAGCCCTTCCTCCCTGAGCTCCCTCACCCGGTGACAACCGTCTCTCTCCTCCGCGGCACTTGCCACAGGTAGTGACGTGTGAATAGCAAGGACCGAAAGAATACGCAACGCTAAATTCCCATCACTCAAGAAGAACTCAAGCTACCCTCTGGGAGAGACGCTCCCAGGATTAATTATATTGTCGGGGTTGATATCTTCCTTCATTTCCCTCCCCAGTAGTTTCGCAAATACATTTTTCCACAGTTTGAAAGAAAACCTAAGAACTCCCAAGTTCCACCGCCAGGAAACACTGACAGCCTGTGATAGCTGAATAATGGATGAAGCTCCACTGTTTACTTAGCAGTGGGAGAAAAAAAAAGGAGGGGGGGAGATAGAGAGGTGCAGATAAGCAAGAGGAGGAGCCGACATTCTCCCAATGGAACAGCCATGAGTACCCTGGCCCTGTTCTTTTGTTTTCTGTGCACAAAATGTGTGTGGGAGCCACCAGGCTGCAGGCAGCTCCTTATCGGCTCATGCCTGCTCCGTGGAGTTGTGGAGTTTGTGAGCCCTCTCCCCTGGCCCGGGGCACTCTGTCCTTCCGGAGAAGGGCATGAGACCAGCATTCTCATCCTGACAACATGGAGTCCCTCACTGCACAGTCCCTAGAGAGAACGCTCTCCAGGAGCCTGCAGCATGTCCCCGGCTCGGAGCCACTCCCAATCCAGTCCCACGCTGGAATGCTGGTGGAAACGCTCCGATGTCATTAGCAAGGTTTACGGTTTTCTTTTCAACACTATTCTGGATTTCGCTGCTAATTACCTCGCATTCCCACATTCCTCTGTGGGGCCACCCAGACCAAGTCAGTCAAGTGGGAGGCTGCCGGAGAAATCTCCCACCATGCCCGTCCCTGGGAGCCCAGGTTTCACCATTAGAGATTCACTCTTTGGGTTCGGGAGGCATTTGAATCCCTGGAGGTCCCATTAAAATGCAACAGCTCCGAGAAGAATAACATGGAAAGCTATTATTAACTGACAGCAAGGAGGCCCTTGGGAGTTGGACACAGGATATAGCCTGAGGAACGACCACAGGAAACCGGGACACGGCAGAGAGGGAAGGTAAGGCGGCAGCAAAAATAAACTCTATCTACTTGGCGAATTTTCAGGGGGCAAGCGTGCACTCCTTCGTGTATCCCTCGCACAGAGAGTGTCTCCTTCCAGACGGGGTGATGGGCACGGAGCCATCTGCCTCATTTGTACTCACAGACAAAATCAACAGCGACACCACACCGGCCTGTGTGTGCCGAGCTCTGCCCCAAGCCGGGGCTGTTTGATCAGGACTTTGTCCCTGGACTTGCTCCTCCAGCACTTCCAACGAGCCACCAGGGCTGCCAGGGAGGGCTGCGTCTACATCACGCGTGTGCATGCTCTCCTACCCTCCCCTGCCTGGAGACGCAATCTGGGTGCTTCCCTTCCCTGCTTTTATTTTCTTTTTCTTTATTTATTTTTTTGACAGGGAGAGTGGACAGTGAGAGAGAGAGAGACAGAGAGAAAGGTCTTCCTTTGCCGTTGGTTCACCCTCCAATGGCCACTGCGGCCGGCGCGCTGCGGCTGGCGCACCGCACTGATCTGAAGCCAGGAGCCAGGGCTTATCCTGATCTCCCATGGGGTGCAGGGCCCAAGCACTTGGGCCATCCTCCACTGCACTCCCTGGCCACAGCAGAGAGCTGGCCTGGAAGAGGGGCAACCGGGACAGAATCCGGCACCCCGACCGGGACTAGAACCCAGTGTGCTGGCGCCGCAGGCGAAGGATTAACCTAGTGAGTCGCGGCGCCGGCCCCCTTCCCCGCTTGTAACACTGCAAACTTTCCATACAGCTGGAGAGTACCCACAGAAAACACAAGGTGGCTTAATGAATACGGGAAGTGTCTCTGGAAGAGAGGAGGCACCCACAGAAGCGGATGGCTAGATTCCAGGAGCCCCGGCCTCTGCTCCGCAGGTTTCTGACTTGCACTGGCAGGAACTGGTCCTGCAGCAGTCTTTGCACCCCTTCAAAGAGTAAACTGGACACGAAGAGTTAAAGAGACGCCTGAGTGTGTGACGGTCGTGTGGTGGTTGTTTGTGTGTGTGTTGATGGTCGTATGTACAGATGGTTGTGTGTGCTTGTACATGCATGTGTGTTCCAAGGCTGTGTGTCTACGTGTTGATGGTTGTGTGCATACAAGCATGTATGCATTGATGGTTGTGTGTACACACACATGTGTGCATGTTTATAGGCATGTGTGTGCATGTGTTCATTGATGGTTGTGTGTGTGCACATGTGTGCATGCGTATGTTGGTAGGCATTGTGTGTGCATGCATGTGTTGATGGTTGTGTATACGTGTGCACAGGTGCGTGTTGACAATTGTGTGTGCATTGCATGCATGCCTGTGTTGATGGCTGTGGTGTGCCGGTGTGCATGTCTGTGTGTGTGTCTACTGAAGGACATGCGGCGGGAAGAGTTGAAGTATCTTTCCCCAGAGGCGGGCCAAGTCGAGGAACCAAGTAATGAGACCAGGAAAAGAGAAGGTGGTCTGGAAAATAAATTCCAGGGGAATTAAACTGAGTAAGCCTCCAATAGAGCTGTAGATTTGAGAAGAGAGGGTAGTTTATTTCTTTAAATCTGGCTTCCAATGGCATCTTCACAGTTAGTGAACAATGATGCAACTGCGGTGAATTAGGGGCTGGCTGACCAAAACACTGCTGCAGCACAGAGTTCTCCATCCATAGAGAAAGCCTGGGCAAGGGGCCCGTCCGTCTCTCACTCGACATGAGGCTGTGCACCGGCCCCTCTGCACCACGTCAGGCCTCCAGCAGCCAGGAGTGCTCCTCCCCGACCCACCAGGAGAACAACACACAAAATCCACATGCATCCGAGAGAAGTCCAGGGGATCCCTGGCAGACACAACGCCCGGGAAGGCTGCACACTGCAGGAGAGCCCAGGGAGGAATGCCCTCTGACCACAGAGCAGCAGGCGACCGCCACATGCATCTACAAGATGGCAGCCATTTCCAGTGTGGGGAGAAGGCGCAAGGACTCACGGGAGTCTGCTGCCCTCAAGGCCCCTTCAGAAAGGAGCAAAGGACAAATCCAGCATCTGCGAACACTGGCCTTTCTCTTTTATCAGGGATATGGACACACGTGAGTGTGCACATCCACGCTGCCTTACAACAAGAGGTTTCACTCGCTGCAAACACTCACCACCGTCCCATCCATCAACAAAGACAGAGTAGCTGTTGGGTGCCTAGGCACATGCGAGGTATAGGAAGAAAAAAGCAAACAAGGGAGTTTCTACCATTTGATCTATGCTAGGAAACAACCCAGTACAAATAATTACCATTTGAAAGATGGACGGTTGTTGTAATGGGTATACTTAGCAAGTGCTTCGCGTTCTGAAAGTTGCTACTGTAAGAATTATGATGATACATTGTGGCTCATTTGTAAAATAATATATGAGTAATTACTATCGGATGCAGACAGAGACATAACATCTCTTTCACTCCTCCCATCACCACCGGCCCTGAAGTAAGTACTGTGTCAGAGCCGAAGACACGGAGGTTCAGTGGGTGAGCTGGCTTTTCACGACCACGTGGCCACTGCTCACCGCAGCCAGGGTGGCTGAAACCGGGAGCTCCTGGTGGACGAGCGAGCAGAGTTGTTCATCCAGGAGGGGTAAGTGCTGGGATCCACCGCACAACATGACGGCCACAGCTAGTAACAATAACGGAATGCATGTTTTGCAACTGCCTAGACGGTAGATTTCAGATGTTCACACCACAAACAAAAAGAGGAAGTACATCGGTTTATCAGTTTGACTTCATTGTTCCCCAATGTATACATCTACGAAAACATCCCACTGTACGTAAATCATAGAGCTATTATTTGTCAGCTCATAATCAAATTAGAAGTGACACAGCTGTGGCAGAGCTGATGTCTAAACCCAGGTCCAGCAGGTCCACCTATTTCCAAGCCCTAAAATTCACTCTGTCTTGTCGTGGTCAGCACCAGCACCCGTGGCTCCAGTCTTCCGGAACTTGCCTCTGCAGCTTGTCTCACTGTCTGAGGGACTTTTTTTTAAACCCTATTCGAATCGGGTACAGTATATTCCCAAAGAGATACCTCTGCTATCTTGGCAATGAAGCCATCTCAAGCAACAAAAATAAAAAGTCAGCAAACATCAGCCGAGTGTCCCAGCGGCGCGCCACGGGCAGGGAGATACTCCGAGGTCACGAAGGAGACAGCAATCTTTGTCTGGGGGCCAAAACACACTTCCCCAGTGAGGCTGCAGGATGCACATAAATATCGCAG